TATATGGTGTAACAAGTCATTTCAAGCAAGGAATAAGAAGCTTTGAGTATTTTGCAGAGTGGCTGGTGCTGCACATGCGCTGGATAACCGCTGCGTTGGGTCACCATCCGAGTGCCTAGGGGCCCAGGACTTCAGAGCGTTTCATAAAACGGCTTGATGTTACTTGTTAGTAGCCTTATGAAACCTATCCTTCTAGACATCCTGCTGCATTGTTTGTCTGAAAATGGGGTAAGCCACTGTGGGAAATTGTTTTCCCAGCAAATTTTAATTGGCTGCTGGGAATTACTAAGTCACTGGCTATTATTAAGAATAGTCTTGTTGCTGCGTAAAGGTGTAATGAAAAGTTTTTGTGATGGTGGAAGGAAGTGAAAGTGGTAGGGAGTTGCAGGCTTTGCTGGATGCTTTCTGTGCCTTTGACCTACCTTAAGGTCAGATGAACTATCTTTAGATTTTTTACAATGAGATTGTGGATTTACACTGAATTACTTTTTTTGGCTAAGCCAAGGTGGAAAAGAGGTAAAAATTGAGAAGCTGCTGAATACTCACTGTGGTTAGCACTGCTAGAAGCTTGTGAAGAAGCAACATCAGATCACAGTTTATTACAAGCAAAAATCCAACCCCATTGGTAATGAAGGCTCAGCAAGCATTTTAGAAGACTTTTCTTAACACTTAGTGACTTTTTCTTTTCTACTTGCAGTCCCCATAGGATAAGTATTGCCTGGAAGTATCTCTTCAGTTAAATATGATGGATACTATTTTGGTATTTGGATACTCGCTCCTATTATGATTTTTCCAGAACTATAAGGGGACGAGTACCATTACCCTCATTACTGGTAGTCTGTGGGGAGCTGGCTACACATATTAGACATCTGAATCGGTCTGTGAAAAATTGGAAATAATACAATGATTTTCTAATACCTTTCCCACATAAGCAGTTGTTATATCTGTGGGATTATTTTTTGTGAAGGGGGCGTGGAGCGTCACAAGACCAGCTTTCTAATTCAGTTTTGAAAGTAATTTGTGAGGTGGGAATTGCACAGTAGATGATGTAAGTTATCAGACAACTCGTGTTACCAGAAGCAAGCTAAGGAAATGTGGATTAGGTGAAATGTTCACGGGAAAACTGAGAGGATAGTTTTTTAATCTAAAATCAGTTTCAAACAAGACAGGTGAATTTGTTGAGATATAAGCGGTCTCTCATAGATCCAGTATTAATTAATGTTTGCCATTAATGTTGTGGGTGAAGCAATGAGGACTCCGTTCATTAAATACCCAGATGAAACTGGGTGGAGATGTGCGTCTATTTGGAATTTAGTTATCTTGACAGATTGGTGAAGGAGTCTGGAAGGAGGGGTTGGATGGGGCTGGGCAGGGGGTTACGCCTGCGGGCTGGGGGTGATGGGCCCAGCAGCAATAACTGTTCATGGCCAGGACGTGAGGCAACAGGCACGCTGTTGCAAAAGCAAACACACTGGCATTTGCACCTAGAATTATCATCTGCAACTCACGTGGCAGTAAAGGATGTTTTTCTGTAGCAAGGAAAGGGTATTTTCCGTGTAGGGAAGGGTTCAACTTGGAAGCCTTTGCCCAGATTTGGGCATCACAACCTCATGGTGGTTTTGTGTGCCAGCCTTACAAAGGGTGGTGGAGAGCAGCAGCTAGAAGGATCAGAAAGTTAGAAAATGTGGCCTGTGAGCAGAGGGTGAAAGAACTGGGTTTTACTTAGTCTGGAGAAAAGACTAAGATGTACTAACAAAAGAGTGAAGCGTAGTGTTCAAACGGGAAGTTAACTGTGTAAAGAAGAAAGGGGTGATCTCTGCAGAGGGTGACCTGGCAGAGGGCTTGAGCCGTGGCGAGGGAGATGTGTGCTGTCAGCACCGGGCCAGGCTTCCCAGCAGTAAGGGTCATGCAGAGTGGAAGGGGCTCGCATGGAGAGGCTGCGCTCCTATCTCCGTGCCCTTTTCCAGGATCCTGGAAGATCTTTTTTTTTCTGCGACTGTCTCTTTTTTTTTTTTTGAAAATGGCAGTGCAGCGTGGGGGACAGTTAAGGAGAGAAGCACGAAGCACTGTTTTCAACCAACACAATTTTTGTTTTGGAAGCTTGGCTGTCGGTAAGTACTATGGTAAATTACAGAGGGAATGGTAGTATAACAGTAGTGATAACTGCAAAAATAGGTCTTTGTTCCAAATGGCTTTCTATTGTTAAAAGTTATATTTTAAGAAATAAATCTTCCCGATGCTTTTTTCCCCTGGTGACGCTTAGTTTCCAGGCAGTATTTATGAAATGCTACTGTGCATTTCTAAGTTTTATTTTCTGTGTCTACTTTTTTCTTTAGTTCCTATATAATTTTTTTTTTTTTCCACTTTTCTGTTTCCCCATGCCACAGTTTCTGTTGCTGCCCTGTTGCTTTTTCAGATGCACTCAGGGAGTAGAAATGTGGAGTCTGTTGGCAAAATGTCTGTGAAAGGAGGGTGAGCATCTCCTGTGAGTTTGTTATCCGCTCCTGAACTTGCTGTTGATGGGGAAGTTGGGCAGTTGGCACTCTCCCAGGCTGGGGAGCACTCTTCTGTTTTTTCACCTACTAGTGAAGAGCCCCATGCTCATTAATTTGAGGTGAATTAGTTTAATGTTTCTGAATCAGTATGTTAAGACTGGCTTTCCCCTTCCCCCCCCCCCCCCAAAAAAAAAAAAAAGGAAAAAAAAAAGAGTGGCATTTTGTGGGTCTGCTATATCTTTCATGCTATCTGGTATATTTGTACAATGTAAGGGTTAGAGAAAGAAAAGATTTTTAGTTGAACCTTTTGGTATTTCAGAGTTCATCTTGGCATTTAACTGAGCAAACAAATGTGTTTTTAATGAAGAGTTCAAAAATATATTAGTTTTGTGGTTCAGCTGGGAGGCAAAAGCTGTGGTTTTGTTCACGCTTAAAAGTTGTGAGGCTGTGTTGCATTTTAATAATGCCATTTGAGCTACCACGACCACGGCTTTGCTTGTGTTTCTATCGAAAACTGACATTGAAGGGGTTCAGTTGGGACACTAAAGAATTATCCCATAATGAAACATCTCGTAAGAAGAACTTGTTTGAAGTCATGTTTGAAAAATTGATCCAGGCATTAATTAATTTTTTTTTTTTTTTTTTTTTTACTTCATCCCTTCCCTTCCCTCCTCCAGTGCATTTTGTGGGTGAGGCTCGTGGCGTTTCTTAGCCGGAGGGTAGAGGCAGCATCAATTTTTGCGGCAGGGCAGCGGTGGGTTTCTAAAGGCAGTCCCCTGCCGTCACCCCTGTTTGCTGTGTGTCAGCGTGGCACACCGTGTTTCTGCTGCCGAGCTCTCTTCCCCTCCTGCTCGTGTTCCCCGTGGGTCGCTTCAGGCTGTCCCTGTGGTGGCTGCCGCGGGGTGTATCCGCTTCTCTCAAGTTAAAAACCTGACCCACGTGGCGTGATTTCGTGTTTTCCACGACCTTGGCTCTGGTGCTGCTTTGATCTACAGATCTTCTCGTGTTGCTCAAAACTTAACTGCTCAGCGGTGGGGTGTAGTGAGAGACTGTCAAGGAGCTGGGAAGAGGAAACTGGGAGGATTAGAAAACAACCAAACAAAACAACCAAACAAAAGACCACCAAATGCACAAACACAAAAACCCCAAAGACAGAATCTTAAAGCAAACTAACATAGCCAAAACTTTAAAATTTTGTAAGGTCAACATATGGAAGCTACAGTATATTGTGGGTTCCCCAACTCTCCTGTGCCCCCTCCCCCCAGTTGTAAGGAAGTGTTTTCCTTTGATGCCACAGCCTAAGTTGAGCAACAATAGTTCTTAAGTAATAAGATCTGTGCCACTCCTCAGTGGATGGGTGGTGGTATCCTTTTCTTGTACTGCAGATGGGTGGGGAAGCAGAAATGTTACAGCATGGTGCTGACACTTTGGCCAGAAACTGCCTTATTTCAGTTGGAAAGATGTTGCCATCTCCCTCTCCTCCTTTTTATTCTTTTTTTTTTTTTTTTTTTTTTTTTTTTTTCTGGCAGAGTATGCCGTTATCGGTTCCTTGGTTTTTACTTGAATTCCTGCTCTCTAATACTTTGTTTCCCAGCTCGTAGTGGTCCTGTTTTTGTTAGCTTTTTACTCTAAGGCATGGGGTGGACTGCCTGCCAGGACAGACCCTGGTCGAACTGTTGACATCTCTGAGGAGTGCTGCAATTCATCCGTTGGGTGTAACAACTTTAATGCTTTTGCCATGTCCATTACAATAGGACACAAAACATACATGTGCAGGATCCTGCAGGAGGGGAATGTGGGCAGTTGGTGGGGGGAAAAATTCCTTCTGTTCCCATACTTAATATTGCTCAAGGCTCAGGACTAGATTAAAAAGGGCGAGTAAGCAGAATCCCTGCCAGGGAAGCTGAGCTATCCAGGATTGTCAAGGAGAAGGCTGAAGGAATGTCTTGAGGAATTAAGGCAGGAGCCACACGGAGCTTCCCCTCTACTTATTTTTTCTTTGCCCTTCTTTGAATTTATAAGCATGCTCAGTTCATGGAAGACCCTTTAGAAGGAAGAAAGAATCAGTGTTATTTGGAGAAATCAGCCCCTTAAGTCAGCTGAATAATCGTGCAGCATTTTGTTTTGTATCCTCAAACCAGGCTAGAGAATACACTAATTAAGTTTTGCTTTGTTGGTATCGGTAAAGTTGGTTCCCATTCATGTTAAGAGGATGATGAGGTCGACTTTGAAATTATTCGGATGAATTTACTTTTAACTGTAGTACTTTGTGTATTTGTATTGTAGTACGTGTAACATACAGCTGATGTGTTTAATTTTTCTATATATTAAATGAGAATTATGGAACTTAAGAGTTTATATTACGGAGGTATCATTTTTGTAGGAAAACTGCAATAAAAACATAACCTACCCTTCACTTACTTGCCAAAAATTAAACTGTAGCTCAACCATGAAATGCCTGATGCCACTCCGACTACCTAAATAGCACTCCTTTCATTTTTTTAGGAGCTTGTGATGTCATCAGCTGAAGCGAAAACATCTACCTCATGACCTGGCATGTAAGTGAAGGAGGAACTGATATTTAAAAGAAAATAAATGTGTGTGTTGGTGTTTACAATGTGTAAATTGAACCTATATACCTTCAACATTCAGGTATCACCTTTTAAATGAAAGCTTTGTGGATTTTAAAGGAGAGGAAGTCATAAAAGAAGCTGTTAACAATGAAGTTCCAGCCTGCAGAACTCCTTGTAATATTTTCAGTTAAAATGTGTCTTGGTGGACCCCGTAATGCTTGGAAGGCTGGTAGGCATAGATGGAATAATTTTATCTTACCACACTATTTACATGTGCTGCTTCTACCCCTTTTTATTCTCAGCTGCTTTTCTGGATATAAATTTTGATAGTTGTGATGAATACATACTGCACACAGTGATACCCTTCCTAAAATTAAAAACTCTGGTTGTGCACAAGGTTTAGATTCTTTTATGTACTCAGATACTTCACAGTAAACTTCCTGCAGTTTTGTGACACTTCTATTTTTTTCCCTTAAGTAAGCAAAAATATTTCAGTCCTCTGCAGAGGCGTTTTCAGATATTTTTTTTTTTCTTTCTTTTTTTTCTGGTCCGCCCGCTCTCTGCTTTTCTTTTATGTGGTTTAAAGGATTAAAGTGCAGTCATTGCTTTGAGGGGCTGATGTCAGCAGTGAGCTGGGTATTCCTAATTAGTGCCAACACCTGTACCTCATTATGAAGCCTCGTTGAAGCTGTCCAGTGAACCGAGGTAGCTGGTCTCTGTTGCATGTCTCTAATGTGATTATAAAGCCCTCTCCTGATGCAAGTTTTATTACTTATTCAACTTTTGGAGTGATGTGGAAAGTGAAGCTAAGCTGAGCCATTTGGCTGGCTACCAAAGATCATAAGGAGTGGCAAAGCGAAGAGATGCAGTCATCTCAATTCCAAGACTTCTGGTTCAAAGCTTGCTTCTACTTTGACTGTTTAAATAACATAAGGAGGGAAAAAAAAAAAAAAAAAAAAAAAAGAAGGGGGAAAAGAATTTTTTCTAGTTTTCAGTGTCAGATACTCTGAATTTAGAGACCAGATCTACAGACTCCAGCTGGGCTATGAACATCTGAGTGCAGTTGCTATTGTGTATAACCCATTGATTTTCTGCAAATAGAGCTTTGGCCTAGACTACTCTTGCACCATCCTTTTGTCTTCGAGGGGTCAGGGCTTAGCAATTCTTTTCTACACAAAACCAGCATTGGTCTCTCCTCCCACCTGATTCTGTACTGTTAGCAGGACTACAATGCAATGTGCTTTGCCATTGCGGTTGGAAAATATGACCTCAGATCGACTTGACTAATAAAATTAACAGCTCAGATGAGGAGGGTTGCTATAATGTTTGGTCTTAGCAGACAAAAGGTTAAGCATGGTTACTTTTTTCTAAGTAGTTTAAGTAAGTTTTTAAGAGTTTAGCTTACAAAATTCAAGCAAGCAGCAACACAATGCTGGCTGTGGGTTTTGGGTTATATCCCTGTGAGTGAGGAGAGAGAGAGAGAGAGAATAACTTCAGATGTGTATCTTGGAAAGGTTTGAGATAATAAACCTGTAAGAATTCACATGAGAACACTGTGCTAGTTATCCAGATTTGGAAAAATGGAAGGAAATGGAAGTGTACTGGATTCTTAAACATCAGATATGAAATTGAAAGTCTAATTTTAAAGGATTCAATCTCTGCAGACTAGAAGCCTCGGAGGAAAAAAAAAAAAAGAGGAATAACAAAATACAGATAAACTTCTGTGTGTTCTTCTGTATTAAGTATCTGTCAGTTGACTAACATGTCACTTACAAGAATGACTTACTGGTCAGCTTCAGGAAAGCTATAATTCAAGTTATTCCTGTTAAGTAAAAGTGCTAACCATCAAGCTATTATATATTCTGATTTTGGGTGCTTTAAAAGGTTTTGGGTCTCGAGAAATCCTCACAGCCTATTTGGTTTTGTGGTGTGGTTTTGGTTTTTCTGTTTTGTTTTTTAATTTCCTTAGCTTGAAGTCGATGTAGCCATTTTTAAGTCCTTGCAGCACATTCTCTTTAGCGTCCTTTTAGCTTTGTGCAAGCTTGACTGATACCTAGAAATGGAATAAAGCATTTGTTTGCAGCTATGTATGTTGGTAGATATTCATATTAGATTTAGACATGACGTACAGGAATTGGGAATAGATGTAAATAGGTGTGTCTCTGCTACTTCGTGGCAGATATTAAAAATGACAAGAAAAGAGAGAGTAACAGATTTCAAAGCAGTTGTTTTTGTAGAACAGTTCCTTAATTCTAGATGAAATTCAAGGACGTTTCACCAGTGAATTTAACAATGCTTAATGGTGATTTTAAGACTGAAGTGTTTAATGTATAGAAGGCATACCTGTACCTCCAGAGGCAGTAAGGTAGGGCAGAGACTGGTCTTTCCTTTGCACGATTTGTGAGGTGCAGGAGTGGTTTGTGTGTGTGTATGCACACAGGTATGCATACATTTCAGCTTGTTCCAGGATGCTTTTTGTTTCTCCTTCCGTTCTTTTGGGTTCTCCAAAAGAAGATTCTGGATGAATAGTGCCCTAAGGTGCACGTAGGTTATATTTGCACATCACGTTTATTAAATTTGTTTGGGTTTTTCTTTTTTTTTTAATAAAAAGCAACAACTCTAACACATTGGGAATGATCTAATCTTCTACTTAATAATTTTGACCAAAATAGTTCTCTACAGTGAAACAGCATTTAACAAACTCTGCAGGACAACAGTATGTCAACTGTCAGAATCTCTGGTGGTTGTGCTCATCATAATCTTAATCTTCTCTCATGAGCATAGTAATTTCAATATTTACCGTGGCCCTATCTATAGACCACCTATCTTATCTCTAGTCCACAGAGGTCAGGTTGGGAATGATGTATTAAAAAAATAAAAAGAAATCCATCGGAGACAGGTGAATTGTTATGACTAAATCTGGTTTTAGATGAGTTCCTTTTCTCAGTTATGCCAATTACTGTCGCAGAATGGTCAACAGAGGACACGTAGGGCAAGAGAGCATTTATAAAGATTGCACAGACTCAGTTTCTTGTAAAATTTTGACTTTCGGATTTTCGGCAGATCAACACGACATATACTGTGTTAAATAACCTTTGTCCTCCATTTGCCTAATTCTCTTCAATCTGTTTACTTTTCAACCTCTGCAACATCCTGTAGCATTGTGTTTCTCCAAGTAATTTTGTACAAAGTTATCTTTTTTTTTTTTTTTTTTTTTCCTAATGACTTTCCTTTGAAGTTTGTTTCGTAACTTTATATGTGTCCCTTATCTTCTGGGCCGTGAGAGGCAGTGAGTAGTCTTTTCACCCTGTTCACTTCTACTTACCGCTTGTGGCAGATCTCTCCTCTTCTGCATCCTCCTTTCTCAGCTGGGGAGTGTCAGTCTGTTTAATCTCTTACCTTAAACCTATGGCAGGTTTCCCTTACAGCTGTAGTTGGAGGTTCACATTCTGCAAATATTTTTTTTTCTCCAGTGGTGCTGGAAGGAGGGAGAAGATACTCCCTTGCTCTTAGCCCAGATGAGTGATCCACTAGTGTTGCACGTCAAAAGCTTTTTCCGTGTGACTCAGCGGGTGTAGCAAATGAAACCAGGCAGGCTTGTCTCGGCGCTTGTTGCTGCTGCTCTTGGGCCTTGCCAGAAGGATGCCTCCTAGTACCAACGCGCAGCGCTCAGTGCTGTTCTCCTCCTACAGCAGTTCCTGCTACAGCCGATTTGGGAATGCCCAGGGACCCCATTTTTTTTAAAGGCGTTCAATTAACGCGTGCGTTTGCATCATCTTAAGACCTTCCAGAAGTGTCCCGCAGGTGCTGTGCTAACAGCGAGCCGTAGCTGGTGTTGGGCCAGGCAGCAGCACTCAGCCTCCCTGGCAGGAGCGTCCCAGGGAGCGGAGGGACTGTGCACCCGGGTCACAGCTTCGGTGTGAACAACCCGTCACCTCTGCAGCTGGGGAGGTGGGTGGTGGAAGAGGAGTCTCGGGTGGCTTTACTCTGCCACGCAGGCTGGGTTGGGCCCTCTCGAAATTGCGGAGCCCCTGGTGACCGATACGGCTGCAGCCTGCCCTGTGCCCTCCAGCTGCGCAGGGTAAGAGCCTGCAGAGAAGGAGACTTCTTTACAGGTTTATAAAAACCTCGCCGACCGACTGGAGTTGCATGTACAAAATGTACTGACTGTCCGGGTTTTGCACTGCCTCACCGAGTCTGAAGGATCACACTGCTATAAAGGAGGTTTTGTTTGTTCAATTTTATACTTGCATTTTTAGTTGTTATCTCTCCTTTTCTCTCCCTGTTTCTCAGCAGATACTTTATTAGTGCTCCTGACAGCATGGGAATTCAGGTGCAGCAGCTGCAGTGTGTTGTGGGCTCTTACCTGTGAAAAAAAGGTGTGGTGAAACACCTCCCTACTTCCATGGCTTGTAGGCAATTCCATTCTTCCCAGTACAGGAGTGGAGAGTGGATGAAGGGACCAACTTTGGAGTCAGATTCATTATCTCACATGCCTGCAGCTTTGGAAGGTCAGCTGTGATAGTTCTCATCCTCCCAGGGTGGGAAGGATAGTATTTTCTGGTACTTTTCTGACTGTGCCTATTCAAGTACCAGTGCTGTTTGTGATCCATCCTGTGGGTTGACACCTTTTTTACTGTGCCAAAAAAAGCCACCTCCATCCACTTACTCAGCTTTAGCACAGGTCAAATAGGACATGCTTTCTGCTAGGAACAGTAGAGGAGTGGTGGTCTAGTCTTACTCATTTTAATCTTGTTTATTTAGTGAGTGGGGAGGAACAGGCAGGAGGAATTCAGAGGAGTGTTAATGGTCAGTCCTGATCAGTGTGTCCCCTCATTCAAAAAATATGAAAGTGCTTCGGCTTCAACTTGGCTGTTTGAGAAATTTAACCTTGTGTGGTCTTTAGGATGCATCTCAACTGCATTCTCAAACAAGATGTGGCATTTTTGAAACCTTGGGCAAGTGCGATCATCCTTTGGTTCCTT